CCACAGAATCCGTTCTATCCGTACTTCGCACGCCATCCGTACGAGCGACCCTAACGCGCCCACCAGCACCTTGGACGTTCCTCCCACAGTGGTGACCACCGCAGGGGTTAGGGTATACCGTCTCGATTTTGTTTCTGTCTGCTAGCCTCGTTTTCGCTTCCTTTTATCCGTCTCGTGTATGCAACCGGGCAGAAAACCCTCGCACCGACACGGCCTTTCCCTCTCATCCGCTCTACCATCCGCATCTGCACCTTGGTTCGGTGCCGACGGAGCTCCTATCATCGAGCTTCCATCCCATCCCAACTCTAGCTCTCAAGGAGCGCCATCTTTAGGGGCCACACCCACGCCCGAATCCTCATCAAGTTCTTTGCCCACGCTATCATCGCTTTCGAGCTCTCTTATAAGCTCGCCCGCTTCCCTGTCGCCGCGAATTTCCCCGATCCCCACAACCACCATGTCGACTGCCGCACATCGGGCCATGCCCGTTCCACATGCCCGCGAGGCACCATACTTCGATGGCAAGCGCATACGTGACTTCATCGCCCATTTAGAGGAATGCGGCCGCGCTGCTGGCCTCTCAGAGTCCGAATTGCCAAAGTTCGTCGCGCGGTACTGCTCAACCGCCGTTCGCGAGCTTGTACAGTGTTTCGAGCAATTTGCGGGCACGGACTGGGATGCTGCAAAGAAGCAGTTGCTGATCATGTACGGGGCAAACGATGAGCCCCCGCGCTATACGCTCTCAGATTTGCGCGCGTTTTGCAAGACTTCGGCTCATGCGAAGCCTTTCCGGAACCGGACTGATGTCGAAGCGTACTACCGCGATTTTCACAAGATCGCGAAACGTCTGCTGAATCAAAAAGTCATTGATGGTGCCGAACTAAACCGATACTTCTATAGAGGGCTACCCGAGCGCGTCCGCGACGATATCAGGTTGCTCATCCCGGCCACCAATCGCAAGGCCGACAATCCGCCTACAGTAGAGACCGTGATGGGCTTGGTGAAGGCCAAGTTTGACGAGAGCAATCTCGATGCGTGGGACGCTGACCTTGACAGTGGGACTGAGTCTGAAGCTGACGGCTATGAAACGGCAAACGAGGATGACTACCGTACCTCCAACCGTCCAGGGCCATCGCGTTCAGGTTCTCCTCCTCCGCCCGCTGCGTCTCAGCCCAACAAGGGTAAAGGCAAGGTCATGTTCAAACCGACGACAACCCAGATACCGGCAGCACCACCCGTCGACCCCTCCCAGCCGCGCGAGAGCTCCGTGGACACTCTGACCGACCAGTTACGAGCACTCTCCATCAACAGTCTCAACCTCGACACCGTTCTACGCGCCTTGAACAAGGATCAGATCTACGAACTCGTCACGAAAGGCACACTTTCGGCAGCGTCCAGTCCAAGTGGATCGTCAGCGCCTCTTCCGCCACCTCGCGGTTCCTCGCCTGCACAGAACCGGCCGGGTTTTCGTGAGGCGTGCTTCGTATGCGGACAGCCCGAAGCACAGCACTCCATTCAGCGCTGTCCCGAGACGCTCGCACTGATCCAGGAAGGGCTGGTACAAATCGGCCTAGATTCGATCACGCAGCGCCGTCGTGTCCTCCTTATCGACGGCAGCGAGTTGCCCATTGCGCCGCCGACACCTCCAGGCGAGGTTAGGAAACTTGCCCCATACATTCGTCACCTTGCCGCGGCGGGCAAGATTCCCCGGGCATCATCAGCAGGAACGTCAACATCGACTCCAGGAAGTCAAGCTCGCGATACGCCGCCGCACCAGCCAGCCCGGACTGCACCTTCTGCATCTTCAGGCGCTGTATCATTCATCATCGATCCGCCGACAGTAGAGGCGTCTGCACATGCTGCGGAGTCTCTGCCGCCCCACCCTGACTTCTATCTGACAGCAGACTACAGTGTCGCGCCGGTGACCCGCTCGGGCCGCGATACGGCCGCTCGGAGCAACACCGCCCCTTATCCAGAGGACAAGCGTCGTCCTGCACCAGCCAGCAAGCCGCCAAGCAGCACGCAAGCACCAACTCCGACGACTCAGCAGCCCCGGGCCCCGAATCCAGTGCCACCCGCCACCAATCAGCAGCGACCGAACCGCGCGCCACCACCGTCTGCACCCGTTCCCGTCGTTCCTCCGCCACATCCGCTCAATACCCGCGCACCACCGCGGAAGCAGCCTGCCGGTACTGATATCGATATGCGTGAAGCCGAAAAGCCGCGCGATCGATACCATTTTACTTCTAACATACAGGAGGCTGTTAAGCTGGAAGACGTCGAGAAACGGATTTGGGACCTGGATATAACCCTTCCCCTCCGAGATCTCGTTGGCATCTCACCCTTGTTACAGAAGTCGGTTACTGAGTATACTCGTGTTCGCCGCGAATATATCACGCAGAACGCACAGGGTGAGTTTGAAGCACACGTCGTCGACGCTGATCACGTCTGTCCCCAGTGTCATACAGCCTCCCTTCTGGTCTCTCCCGGTGATACCGTACACGCACCCGACACACCTGAAGATCGAGCACTCTTTGGTACGTCTGTTGCCCGCGCTTTCTCAGCTGAATCGTCGTCAGGAGCGTTTTATTCAATGGCAACTGGGCATCTTGCTGCGACTATCAACGGGTCGGCGGTGACGCTGATGCTCGATACTGGCTCGGAGCTCAACCTCATCTCTGAACGCCTGGTAGCAGCTCTCGGCCTCCCGCTTGACAGCAGCGGTTCGCATTGGCATGTCAAGGGCGTCAACGGTGGTCCAGTCCGGCTTCGCGGCGTAGTGCACAACGTGCCCATTCTGATCGGTGGACTTCTGTTCCCTCACCACTTCTTCGTCACGCGTTCGGGATCCCAACAGCAAGGTCAGCCATCCGACGACCTGTCCATCGCCTACACCGAAGAAGCCACCACCTCAACGCACGACCTTCTCTGTGGCCAACCGTTCATTCAGCACTTCAACTCCCGACTCGACTTCACTCGCTCCGGTCTCATGACGCTCCAACTCTGGACGGTTGCAGACCGCAGCAACCGTGCACCGTCAATCTCTGTCGTACTATCTAAGCCCAATAACCCGCGCAATCACGCTACGCTCATCCACGCAGCAATCGCCTTGCCAGGTGACCAACTGCCCGAAAACTCCGCCTCTGTCGAAGAAGTTGGCGATGCAGCTGCTGCGTCGTCGGCTTTTTAGTGAAGGGCACGCACGTCGGGATCCGCTGCGTGTCCACCTACGCGGCAACCCTAGGACGGTCTCTAAAGGGCCTGATGGGTGATCCCTCTTTCTCTGACTCGGATTTCTTCTCTACTGCTGATCCTCCAGACTCCTACGACTCACTGTTTCGCCACGCCTACTACACAACTGAAAACCCAACACCGTCTGCTACTCTCTGGTCTCTCCGAAATCTCCGTGAGCTTTCATCTTCCGCGCCCCAAGTTCACTCGTCTTCTGCAGCACGTCGCAAATACAAGCCTGTCGACCGGAAGTATCGTCCCGTCCCAACCTACTATCCCAACCCCCGCTCTCAACAATTTAAACCTATACCCGCACCTGAGCTACAACCGCTCACACACTTTCCCCCCACTCGCGCTAAGTTCCCTTTTTCCAATCGTATCACTCCCGAACGTCTTGAACTACTTATGTCCAAGATTCCCGAAGGCTTCCTCTCCGATCAAGAACTCGACCTTGTCGCGCACGTCATCAGTCAGCACCAGCAGGCCTTTGCGTTCGACTACTCGGAGAAAGGCACCTTTTCCCGAGAGTACTTCCCAGAGTACGAGATTGCGACCATCGAGCACACACCTTGGCAGCAAGCACCCATCCGCGTACCAGCTGCGCTAGAGAAATCCGTGCGTGCAGAGATTCTTGATCAGGAAGCTAACGGCCGCTTCGAGATGACCACGTCTAGCTACCGCAGCGCGATCTTCGCCGTCGAAAAGAAGAACAAGGGTGTACGGCTCGTACTCGATCTGCAACGGCTCAACGGTGTTACCATCCGCGATGCCGGCCTTCCACCGCGCATGGACGACTTCGCCGAGAGCTTTGTCGGCTACGCCATCTACGCCGTCTTGGATCTTTATTCCGGATTCGACGCTGTTCCACTGGCGGAACGATCACGGCCCATGACCGCCTTTCACTCCATCATCGGTCCTCGGCAGCAGACCACTCTCCCACAAGGAGCTACGAACGCGCCAACAGCCTTCCAGCAGCGCATGGACCATACACTTATCCGGATGAGTGCAGTCGACAAAGCTAAGCCATTCTTCGACGACTGTGGCGTCAAGGGTCCGCAATCGACCTACGAAAACGCGCCGCTCGAGGATAACCCCCACATCCGACGGTTTGTCTTCGAGTTCTGCGAGACATTAGCTGAGTTCCTGGCCACCCTGGTCCTTGCCGGCGTTACAGCATCGGGTTTGAAGTCAACGCTGGCTACGCCACTACTCGACATCGTTGGTACTCTCGTTTCTCTCTCCGGCTGGCAGCTACACCATGGGATCGTCAACAAGGTCCTCCGTTGGCCCCAGCCAGATACGCGCTCGGAGGTTCGCGGCTTTTTGGGCACCACCGGTTGCGGGCGACGTTGGATTCGCAACTACTCGCTCATTGCCAAGCCCCTGACACTTCTACTGCGCGGCGCAGAAGCCGACTTCTACTTTGGCGACGATGCCCGCGCTGCGATGGACAAGCTCAAACATCTCGTTACACATGCTCCGGTGCTGGTACGTGTTGATTATGAACTTGCCGCCACTCACAGCCGCCTCTCCCGCTCCTCGGAGCATGGCCTGATCATTGTAGCTGTTGACGCATCCATGTACGGTGCCGGTTGGGTGCTATATCAAGTACTGATCAAGTCCGCGACGTCAAGAACCACGGACACGGAACCAGCACCCTCATCAGCGCCGGAACGCAAGCACGTGGAGCGCCACCCAGCTATCTTCGGCAGCAGGACGTTCAATGCTACTGAATCCCGCTACTCGCAGCCAAAGTGCGAACTATACGGTGTCTTCCGAGCCGTCAAGGACCTTCGTCACCGGATCTATGGTGTATACTTCGTGCTTGAGGTCGACGCCAAGTCTCTTATCGAGATGATTCGCAGGCCCGATCTACCGGGTTCCTCGGAAACCCGCTGGCTGACGTCCATACAGACCTTCGACTTTGATGTGCGTCACGTTCCAGCTACAGCGCACGAGGCACAAGATGGCCTCTCCCGTCGCCGGCGAGCCGCAGACGACAGTTCCGACTCTGAGGGTGATCAGGATGAGTTTATTGACCGCGTTATCGATGCCTTTTACGCTACAGGTCCGCTCCCTACGGCCGAGGCACAGGATCCGCCTTTTGGCCGCACCACCGCGCCAATCGTACCGAACCGTCTCCTCAAGCATCTTATAGCCTGTCGCATCGCCCGTGGACGAGCCGCTCTGAGTCGCTCCCAGATCAACCTCTCTATGGACCTCGATCTCTACCACTATCGGGAAGTAGAACCGCGTATGGGTATCCCGCTGCCGCCACCGCTCGACACCCAGTTCGAAGCAGACGACCTCCGCCAGGGCTCCCTACTTACCCACAGCCTGCTACGTGTGGACTCAACTGCTGGTATGATCGAGACGCTGGAGCTGCAGACTGACCCATTCCGCATCCGCAAGGCCGCTCTGGAGCTCTCTTGGACGACCACTCAGCCCGATTCCCACTCGGATCTGGCCCAACTTCCACACATTGGCGTCATTTACGAGTCAATGCATTGGCGCGGGGACACGGTGCGCAGTCATTACGCTGGTTTCTTTGATTCGGGTTCGGCATTCGCGCATCCTTTCTATGACGAGCACGTTCGCGCTGACGGCGCCGGCGGCTTTGTCCCTCTCTTACCATGGTCGGTTCTTACAGCGCCGAAGTTTGAGGACAGGGGCTCGGATACGATCGGTTTTGTTTCGAGTGTCGGACACAAGTTTGGCACCTTGGACGAGGACTCGCCGGAGATGTGGGCAGAAGTCCGCGCTTTCTTAAAGGATGGAGTGCTTCCGTTGCGTCTGAAGGGGGCGTCCGAGCGCGATGTTCAGCGCTTTGCGCGGAAAGCTAACCGTTTTGTGCTTGCTGACCCGCTATCCCCCGGCGCGCCTCGCCGCCTTTTCCTAGTCGAACGGAAAAACGGCAACGACTCCCCACCTCTGCTTGTGATCACTGACCCGGATCGCCGCGACGAGATCATCGCGGAAGCTCACAATACCTGCGGACATCAAGGACGCGATTCAACATATCGGCGCATCGCCGACAGGTATTACTGGCCCAACATGTTCAAACAGGTCGACTACTTTGTGCGGTCCTGCCTCGCGTGCCAGCGCTACACCCGCCGGAGGACCCATATCCCATTCAAGCCCGCGCACACCGAGCTCGGGGTACTCCGGACTTTCGGGCTCGACGTTATACACATGCCCCGCGGCATACGTTCGAACGGCACAATCGCTGAGTACATCGTTCATCTTGTGGACCTTGCATCAGGCTGGGCGGAGGCATCGGACCTTACCAACGCGAACGCACGCTCGGTCGTAGCTTTCCTGCTGCGCGACGTCGTTTCCCGTTTTGGTTCTGCTATCCGCATCGTCACTGACCAGGGTACCGAGTTCGTCAATGACCTGGTGGCCGAGTTCACTCAGCAATCAGGCCTCACCGTTGTATTCTCTTCTGCTTACCATCCAGAGGGGAACGCTGTAGTCGAGCGCTCGCACCAATCGCTCCAGTGGGGGTGCATCAAGGCCGCCGCCGAGCATCCGCAATACTGGCCCCGCTATCTCTCCGCCACACTTTGGGCTGTGCGAACGACGACGTCACGTACGACGGGCCTCAGTCCCTACTACATGGTATACGGGATGGAGCCCGCCTTCCCGTACGACATGGCTGACGGCACCTGGCACTGGATCGACTGGTTCGCCGTCATCGACACCACCACCCTCATCGCGGCCCGAGCACAACAATTCCATTTGCGGACGGGTAAGGTCGATGACGCACTTGAACGGCTGACCGCAGCACGTCGGCGCGCCATTGAGGACATGAATAGCCGCCGTGGCACTCTCCTCGACTTCCGCGAGTTTACCGCCGGAGTATGGGTCATGTTGGAACATACTGCGTTGAGAAATCGCCACGGCGCAAAGGATGTCCCCATCTGGGCAGGACCGTACATCATTCACCGGGTCGTCACGCCAGACACGTTCCTCTTGCGCGAGCTTGATGGCACAGTCATGCGAGGCGCTGTAAGTGTTCACCGTCTGCGCATGTTCTTCTACCGCTCGCGACACCAGAGTATCCGCGGTGTCCTCCCTGACGCACAGACCTCCACGACCGCCACGGTCACTTCTGAACCGTTCACGGAGCATGTCGTCATCTGCGCCGCATCCGTCCTTCCGGACAACGCCGACCTTGTCTACTATGATACGGAGTGGCCGCACGGCATCCCTCGCCGGACACCCCAGCCCTGCTTTCCACTTGCCCGCCAGGACTTCACCGTCGCGGAGGATACGTACCGTACACGTGCGGTCAACATCTCTTTGCATGTCTTCATGCAGCGTCAAGGCCGCATCGTCTTCCGCGAGGCATACGAATGGGCGAACATCGGAGCTGCGCGCCTCTCGGGCATTTCATACGGCAACATGCCGAGGGAGTATTTGTTCGCAGCCGCCGACCTAGCTTCTACCGGGTACAAGTGCATCGACGGCCATCTACTACCCCCGGACAACGTCTACGAACACGCCCTCGCCACAGGACAGCGCGCACTTCCGGACCTGGCCAACCGTGCGATGTTCCCCGACCCTGTATGGGGCGGCTCGCCGCCTGAATGGGCGACCTATCGTGGAGCGGCTTCAATCATCGGTCTGCTCACGCCACCCTCTGCAATGCCCGACGACTTCGTGGTCACGTTCAGCCGCCTGTGACGGTCCCCGCTACTACTTCTTCCTCCGTACGCCCTGTACTTTATTTCTTCTTCTTTTCTTCACTCCTTCTTGCTACGACTTCGCCGATGTCGGGGTCGACATCGCGAACTTGCCGCCACTGTGGTAGTATCCCCGAGCATGCTCGTGGACACTGCCCAAGACGTATGAGCTCGCGTGGCGCGACGCGCGCAAACTTGAACGCGTTCACGCGCGTCGGGCCCCTATCCACGACTTCCACCACGGCTTCATTATTTCTAACCTTTACAGGTCCCACCATCACCACCGTTACCCCTTCTACCCGACCGACATCACTGCCAGGCATCGGCACCGCGCTCCCGCGCCCAAACACGAGTAGCTCGGTCCCGAGCGGCCACGCGTTCGCGATCGGCCGCGCTCTCGCCGCCGCGCTCGCGCCAGCCATGGCTGCGACTATCAGCAATATCGAGGGATCATGGAGGATGGTTTAGGCGTCGTTACCGTGTTCCTGCTCACCTTACTTTACCTCTACCTTACAGCTTCGGCATATTCCTCCCATCTCGAACCCACTTTCCGACGAACGAGCGACACGCCGCTCCTCTCCCTCGCTGTCACCAGGGCTGCTCCTCTTCTCGTAGCCGTGCACGGGCTTGGGGAACCCACGCACGCTCTGTTGCGGGCCAGAGCACGAGAATGAGTCGAGCAAGCCGGTACGAGACGGGTCTCCAGCGAGGCGAGGCTGCCGGCATCGCGAAGTAGTCTACTCGCCCCTGATCTCCATACGGTCTCTTTCTCGTGCTGCTTTTTATGCTTTTCATGTGTCCTGTTCCTTACTTTACTGCTTGGCGCCGTCGGAGGGGCGGGCGAGCATTCTCGTCTCTTATAACGATTGTATCCTCGAAATGAGAATTCGGGCTTCCCTTTTCCCCTCAAGTCTGAACCTCTAACGGCGCCCTCGCCGGTATTCAAGGTTCAAGCCTCTTCGGAAAGCCAACGTCCTCCTGATTCGCATCGTCGCGCACGTTCAAGACTTCGGTTGCGATTCCAGTTGCCCGACCAATACTTCCCTCGGTCACCCTTATCCTCCCTCGGAGACTTCTAGCAGTAGTACTAGTGGATAATACATATCGGTACGCCGTAGCCGTACCGCTCGTAAGCTAACTGGATTCCACAGAATCCGTTCTATCCGTACTTCGCACGCCATCCGTACGAGCGACCCTAACGCGCCCACCAGCACCTTGGACGTTCCTCCCACAACGGTAACTCGGACGTTCGATTGTGTTTTTACGCCCCGAGGTACGGAACAGCCATACGATACGTTACTCAGTACGTCTTTGGAGTCCGCTTCCATCGCTTGTTTCGCTACTTAAACTGTCTCGCGACCGCTTAGGCTTCAACTTCACACTACGACAAGGATGGGCGCACGACATTGAAACTGATCCCACCTCGACTATACTCTTCAAAGATTCATATTTCTATCGAGATACGCCGGGCCTGTCGAAGGACGACCCGCGATTGCCAGAATATCTGAGGGAGCCTATGAGCTTCACGCACGATCAACTGCATATCTTCGGGAAGGAGCTTCTCACCAGCTTTGTCGATCAGTTGGAACGTGGGTCGAACGGCACGGACGAGCAGGATATGAGTGTGGAACAGTAGTAGGTGATTGATGAAGGTGGACCTTTGCTTTGGATTTCTTGCTTTGAGACTGCTTTGTCTTACGTATGTGCTCTCCGTAATGCTAGTGCGCCTGTTCTTCGTGTCGATACGTCTACGCGAAGGTGCACAGTACTCAGAATGATAGGCAGACGATAAACGGGTGACAAGCACCGACGCGTGACGTCACAACAACATGTTGCGCGCGAATGGCCCGGCAACGGCGCATCTTCGTCCTACACTCCTCTGCCGAGGGCTGGGCTAGCTCCGTATAGTAGGATTCCTATGAGAATGAAGGTCTGATTGTGTAACCTATATGCACAGCGTGCCGCAGCGCCGAGCAAACGACGCACGTGTGTGCATGCTTCCGAGCCGCTTCTCCCGGTACGCCAATCACCATGGCGGCGGCTTTGCAGGCCAACCAGCGCGCTGAGCGCATCTATAAGATATCTGCGCGGGGCATATCGCCGACTTCTGACCTTCGCAGCTTTTCTGCTCGCACCCATCGCGTCAAGCGTGCGGCACACGTTTGAGCGCGCCCCTGTGGATCCTATCTCCGCGCCTGCGAAGGTCGTAGACTCGTGGTACCAGTCCTAATGAAGATGGTCTCTTCGACTAGCGCGCGCTCCCTACTTCTGAGCCTCATGTTGAGCCTCGCTTGGAGCGCGCAGTCCAGCTTCGTCGCCGCCCAGCTGCCCATCCCTGCTCAAAACACAAGCAACTGGGCGCAATACGATCCGTTCTTCCCTGTTGAACCCTACGCGGCACCACCGGACGGGTGCACAGTCACACAGGTCAACCTGGTATGTACCCTGCTGGATGTCGAAGATTTCAGCCTGACATTGAAGGGATGTAGCTCCAGAGACATGGTGCGCGATGGCCGACATCCGGCGCGGGGGGACGACAGGCAGATACTCTAGCGCGGTTGCAGGCGGCGGGACCATTCACCGATCCAAAGTATGAGTTCTTGAACACCTTCGTGTACGATTTCGGTGTCGACGACCTGCTGCCGTTTGGAGCGAATCAGTACGTCAAAGCACTTCGTCGCTTCCGATGAGAGGACTCACACTTTGGATCAGGTCTCAACAGACAGGCGCCGATATATTCAATCGCTACTCTGCGCTAGCCGATGAGAACAATATCCCCTTCGTGCGCGCGGCGGGCGACCAACGCGTCGTCGACTCTTCGACCAACTGGACTGCGGGCTTTGGGGACGCTTCCGGGGAGACCGTACTCCCTGTACTTCAGGTTGTGCTCTCAGAGGACGTGAGTGTTATCTATGTTCTCGCGTGTATTACCTGTAGACCAATACCGCTTGCAGGGCAACTGCACTCTCTGCAACAAGATGTGCCCCAACCAGGTCGACGGCGACGAATCCACAACCTGGCTAGGGGCCTTTGCGCCGAATATCACTTCACGATTGAACGCCGCGGCTCCAGGCGCCAACCTCTCCGACAGCGACACGCTTAACCTCATGGACATGTGTCCATTCGACACACTGAGCAAAGGCGTCGCCAGTCCCTTCTGCGACCTCTTCACGGCTGAGGAGTACGCGTCGTACGAGTATTACTACGATCTTGACAAGTACTACGGCACGGGTCCCGGCAACACCCTTGGTCCGGTCCAAGGTGTCGGATACGTCAATGAGCTCCTTGCTCGTCTGACTGGCAAAGCCGTCCAGGACGAGACGCAAACGAACCGCACGCTCGACAGCGACCCCGCAACATTCCCATTCAACCGCACCTTCTACGCCGACTTCTCGCACGACAACACCATGATACCCATCTTCGCTGCGCTCGGTCTGTTCAATTCCACCGCGCTCGACCCGCTCTCGCCGGACCCGAATAGGCTGTGGGTGAACTCGAAGTTGGTGCCGTTCTCTGGCCATATGACGGTCGAGAAGTTGGACTGCTCTGGGAAGGAGTCGGTCAGAGTGCTGGTGAACGATGCGGTGCAACCGCTGGAGTTCTGTGGGGGAGTTGATGGCGTGTGCGAGCTTGAGGCGTTTGTGGAGAGCCAGGTGTATGCGCGGGAGAACGGGCAAGGCGACTTCGAGCTGTGCGGATTCGTTCCATCGTAATATCCATGTACATATTTTCTGTGCTAGTACTTTTCCTACTGCTTCCGCCTAGCAACACTGGCTTTACCTCGGGCCCACATACTCTATTGAGGGATTATTTCTCGAGATCAAGGTCATCATACGTACTTTTGACTGCCGCTCCTGGCTGATCTCTGCCAATCATCTCGCGTCAATCACGGCGCGCGACGCGTGTTATCGCGGCATATACACGACGTGCCCGGTCTGAGCCCGAACCTTGACCTTGTCCGCTACCTCCACCACCATGCCGTCCAGCGACGACGTGCAGTACTACGTCGAGCGCGTGGAGAACTACGTGTACGCTTCTGCGACAGCCGTCGCCAATGAGGTTCCTCACATAGGCGAGAGCGTTAAGCGCCTGTGGGCCGACGTCACCCGCTATGGACCGAAGCTGCCGGATATTAAGCTGCCTGGTCTGGGCGAATTCGAGATTCCACCTCCTCCGCCACCACCGCCGCCTCCCCGGTCCTTTTGGGACAGATCGACGGATTGGGTAGCGGACCATCCGTGGACGGCTACTGGGATAGGCGCTGGCGCTGTTGGGGCCACGCTCCTGGTCGGCTATAAGGGTCTGTTGGTGCACCGCGGCAGGAGAACTGGGAAGGGAAAACATTCCAGTGATAGGAAGCAGGTTGTCGGTATGTCGTCTCATTCAAATATACTGTACGACAGTACTCAACGGGATCAACAGTCGTGTTGGGCGGCGATACTCCGCTTGCGCTGACGCTCATCCATGAATTGGAGCAGAAAGGCTACATCGTAATCGCTAGCGCTTCTACTTCGGATGCGGCTAGCGAGATTGAGCACCAAAGCCACGGATACGTGCGCGCACTCGTCCTCGATCCCTTACTGGTGAGATGGACATCTAGCGGTGTATATCACAGAGGACTGATGCGTTATCTAGCCCGACAGTGTGCCCAACTTCTTACGATTGCTGGTGTCGGCGTTATCAAGACGTTTCCCCATTGATGCTGGCGGTGATCCACATGCCTCGCCAGCCTCGATGCCCTACATTCACTCAGTAATCTCACTGCTCGGCCTATCTTCGCCCGCTTTGCCGCCACCAGGGCCCCTCGAGCATCTACAGCTCGTAGACGACTATATGCCGTACTTAACCACGACGCACATCGTCCCCCTTATGGTCGTGCAGGCTCTTCTCCCGCTCCTTCGGTCCTCTTCGCATATCAATGGCAAAGGGAAGAAGAAGAGCGTCGTATTCTGCGTGCCCGCCGCCGATGCACGCGTGGGGCTTCCCTTCTCCGCCGCGAGCGCGATGAGTGCAGCAGCAACTGCGCGTGGAGCCGAGGTTCTCCGTCGAGAGATCGCCATGGCGGCTGCCACGGGAGGCGCATCGACGATGAAGGACATCAACGTCGTTGTGATGGATGTTGGCCACATTCAGAGCCCTACGCCCACTCGCCGTCGGATGCTCGGTCACGATGCACACAATGACCTGGAGGCATGGACAGAGTCTGAACAGCTCGCATACGGTCCGGCATACAAAGCCATGACTGAGCCGACTACGGGCAGAGTCGCCTCCGTGCGCCGTCGCCCATCGCCGCCTCAGGTGTTCGTGGACAAGGTCGTCGAGGTGGTATCGCACGGTCGCAAGCGCTCAGCAAATGTCTTCGGCTATCATATCCCGCTCTACTTCCTGCCAAACCCCTTCTTGTGGGGTGGCCGCTACGCAGTTGGTGCCGGAGGTGCGCGTACAATTGCAATATTCTCACAATACGTTATTGACGGTTCGCCGCATAGCCTTTTCTTACACGCTAGCATCCAGCTTGCCTCACACTCTGCTAGACGTCATCCTCAACCTGCCGTACCTGCTTATGTCTATTCGCAACGCACTCCTACCGGTCCCGCCACTCGTCACTATTCCCAGACAGCCACTGCCTGAGCCCACGCCCGCGCAGCCAGCACCTGTAGCCCAGACCGAGTCTGCGCCCACATCGGACCACGCCGAGTCGGATGTTGGATCTGACGCTGATGTTGAGAGCAATGCGAGCTCCGGTGCGAATTCGGGCGTGGAGAGTAGCTGGATTAGCCTGGGCGGATCGACGACCAATAACCCCTGGAAGCGTGAATGAGTGATGCCCTGATCCGCTCGTTATTTGAGATGAACGAGATGTACTATAAAGCTTGCCTTTGCATGCGTACTGAGATTATGTCTGTGGATATCTGTACTACTAGTTGCTCAACCTCAAATCGCTGCGCTTATAACCCTCACTCCCTTCATCGCCTTACGCCATAGTAGGACATGCAGCAATGCATACATCGTCACTCAGCAAGCCGACAGATACGTGAGTAGTGAGAATATGTGGCGCCGCTGGGAAGTATCCCGCCCACGGGTAACGTGGATCCATCTTGCTTCATACCATCACAACACACGCACTGGAGCCGTCTGGCAGCGCTGCACGCACTTGATCCCATGACGCGTGCGCGCATGTTCAACAGTGGCGGAGGCTGTTCTCCATGAGCTATCTATAAATCCTCGGGTCCGGCGGGCTGGTAGAGCATTATCAACCTTCTCCGACATACCCTGCGCCGCATCTCTCCCCACACTCTAATCATCAACGGTGAGGGCCTTCGACTTCGGTCCCGCTGGTCTTCCAGGACGCTGATCACCTATCCCGCTAGGTTCAGCTACCATCTCCATCGACCTCCTATAGACTAATAATATCGTACAACAATCACCTTTACAATGGGTAAGCCAGCCCCCAGTGCTACGATCTGCATCGTCGGCGCTGAACCGAACGTCGTCATCTCCAGGCATATCATTTTGGCTTGTCCCTACTGTCTACGAGACCGACACGCTCAGGAAGATCACCTCTCTGCGCCCAGTGCCAGCGAAATCAGCCTCCTCGTTTCCGAAGTTCCACCCACACGTCACCCTCGCCTCGATCCCTCTGCCAAACGAGCCTGACCGCGATCTACTCGCTTTAAGGCTACGAGAGAGCATCCCTGTCGGCACACCGGCGCTCCCTCTGACATTTCAGTCTGTCGAGGCAGGCGACACTTTCACGCGTTCTGTATACGTGAATATCAAGCCGACTTCGGAGCTCATGCATCTGCATGCTGAGATACATACGACGCTGGGACATTCGCCAAACACGCCGAAGTTCCCACATATGTCTCTATTCTACATCGGTGAGGTTCTCCAGACTTTCTTCGAAGTATGCGTCGCTGACAGGGTCATGCAGGAGATGAAGATGCCGACGCGCGCGTTCAGACGCTCGAGGAGCTTGAACGCATGGGCGTCGTGGTGCAGGGCGAGGATCACGCAACACTTGACGCGCGTGTCCTTGATGGTGTCGACAAGGACGCCATAGCGCACCTCGACGGATTCACCGCTTCAGAGATCTGGATCGTGCGCATCGAAGGTGCGGTGGAGGATTGGGCAGTCCTCGACAAGATCGTTCTCTCCACTGGCGAGAAGTCGCATCATTATGGCTTTGCGCACTTCAGGGAGGCCTATCATGAGATGAAGGACGCGATGCATGCTCGTGGCGAATGAACGACGGTTGATTATAGCGCTTCTATTACTGTACTGATCGGTAGATGATGTGTACGAGACAAGATGTGCATATAGAGAATGGATGCTCTTGAGCTTAAGTATGAAGAGGAGAGAAGCGGGGAGGGGAGACATGGGTGATCGGAGATGGTAATGCTACAGTTCAGGGGAAGGAGAGCGACGGAGACCTATTGATACAGCACCGAGAATGCAGAAGGTATGGGCAGAATAGAGGTATGATGTGTTGAACGAAAGTGTGTTTGTCGTAAAGAGAATCAAGCCGATGCGGTGGTTGTGGGCGGAATGCCCAAACCCTCGACCATGGACGGCTTGCGCATAGGCGCGGCACCATCCTCGGCATGACTCTGCTGTGGGTCGAATGCGCTGTACAAAGGCAGCTGCTCAGAATGATCGATCTTCCTATCGCCATTCGAGTGGTAGAGCTGGTTGTACACGGGAAGGTCGTATGCCAGCAACGGAGGCATGGAGATAGACGAAGTCTGGGGCGCAATATCACGGACTGGCTCAGTGGGCGCGACAACGGACGGGCGCGTGCGAATGATCTCCAGCGGGAGAGTGAACGCGAGGCGCTCAACGCACGCATCGGCACCGTCTTCCTCCGTCCAGGCAACGCAGATGTTGATTGTCATCTGGTGGCGGACAGAGAGCCACGGCCCAGCCGTATCCGGGCGAAGAGTACGGGCACCAACCCAAGGGAGCGGCTCTGAAGAAGCGCGCTCGAGTGGGATGGAGGTCTGTACGGCGTACCAAGCGACGGCATCGCCAGAAGCGTCACCTGTGCGGGGCGGGATATCGCCATGGGGAATGTCGAGGGCGGAGCGCTCAAGCTTATAGCGGACGATCTTTGCTTCGGGCAGCAGGGAGAAGGTGTCGCAGAGCGTGAAGTTCTGGCGCGCGGAACAGAGTCCTACGTCGAACATAGTGTGCATCGGATGCGGCTGGCGGAGTTCGACGTTGGGTGGCTGCCTGGACATTGGAGGTAGAGGATAGCGCTCTCCCCAAGAACCGAGATCAGTCCTGCGACATTTGTCAACTTGATGATCTCATCCATTCAGTTTGTAAGGCTTACCTGTACTTCTCGATTTGCTCGAGCTTGGTAATCATGACACTATCGAAGCGTAGGCGCGCTGCATCTTCGTCGCTGAGGCCCGGAGCGCGCATCCGCACGAAGAAGGGGAACTCTTCTTGGTCCATTGTCACATACTCCGGTGCTGAGATGACGATTTCGAGCTTGTCGAGAACCTCGCGCGGGACACCGATGGGGCCCTCAGGCAGATTTGCCTTGACGATATAGTTGGTCATCATAGCGCTGGTGGGGGATGCTGTACTGTAGCGGTTGATGATGACGGGACACGGCGCAGCTTCAACGACGCGGGTGCGCAGGAAGCTGGGCGTGCACAGCGACATCCAGCTTGTAGTGGCAGACCTGTCTTCAAGCGGAATCGCGGTGGCCGTGCAGTGCAACGCGTAGGAGGTCCCAGGTGTCGCAGTTGAGATATCACCGAAGATGTCGCTCGGAGGTAGCCACCCAGGTAGACGTAGGTCAAAGGTGATGTTCCAAGTTGCGCCATCTTCGAAGTCGTCTGCGCAGAGCTCGATGGGGCACGAAGGCGTGACGAGGCTCTTGTTGATCGTGCACAGGCGCACAGCAGAGTAGCCAGTTGTCGACGTATACAGCTCCGACTGGCCTTCGAACGTCAACGCGAGCGACTTCAACAGCATGCGCGCGGGCGCGGGCCGCTTGCCGAAGATACCGACGGTTGGACGGAGGGATACGGCGACGTGGCCCGAGAGAGAGTAGGAGGATCTGCGCGGTGGTCAATATGTTTGCCATATCTCGAGACAGGATTGCTAGCACTCACGCCTGGTCGGCCGGGCCATACATGCTAATAGAGGCATTCAGAGGAACAATCTCAAGGTTCAGTGCCATCGCGAAAGACGTCGCGGACGTAGATTATAGAGACAAGAAGGGGAATAGAGGGTGCGGGGCGTGAAGGTGAGCCATCACCTTATTGAGCCGCAGGGTTTATAAGACACATGAGGTAGCCGCCTGCAGGAGACAAAAGAACAAAGGCGTCTGCAAGACTAAAGGCCGGCGCTCAAATCAAGCGCTATCAGGTTAGCGCCGGGCACGATTATCGTGATTCCGCAGGAAGTCAGGAACGCCTCGCCCAAAACGGATGTTTGATTGAGGGCCACTCGAACGGGAACAAGGCATGTGTGAATATGACCGTGCCGAACTGGATCATCCCCTTGTCCTTCCCTATTCCCACCGTTTTGGAAGGGTCTACTGGCAGGCTAGCTGAAGGGCATTAGACGTGTATCATGGAGGGGAAGCATGATGCGTAGCTGTCCGGGCATCAGTGCCGCACAAAGGGATTGCTGTGAAGGGCACGGCGCTGCTTCGCGCCTGCACGATGTGAGCAGGCAATTACGGCTTCACAATCCGAGTCAGCTGTATATGCGGACGCATCCTCATGTTCGGCCATCTAGAGGCACAGCATTGGCGGAGACATATCCAGATGCAGGATAGGGGAGTTCGTTTCCTGCACGACACGGGAGGTAAGGGACATTCACGAGTGCCGTCCCGTTGTATTGGTGGCGCTCATTGCATTGCCCGTCAGAGTTGGACCACGGAGATGGACAACCGTCAAACGCAAAACAGGACCGTTGATAGGAATGCGCTGCGTATAGGATTGGAATAGCAGACAAGATCTGGGCCACCTGAATTTGGCGGAAGCATAAGCTACGCAAAGACCTTTGAAACAGCCAGCTCGTCCTCCGGAAGCACCCGTTTCTCCTTGCGCCCCGCGCGTTCTGCCTGTGCGAGCTTGCGCTCGCGGTAACGGTCTCCTTTCTCGCGGCGCGTCGCAGACCGGACAACAGCAGGAGGCACGAATTCTGCGGGTACTGTGAGTGAGCGACAATTGGAGAGATCGTGTGATATGATACGCACCTGGATTCGCGAAAACAGTCGCTCCACCAAAAGCACCTTCGAAGATACGGATAGGCGTCATAACGAAGCGAGGGCCAATCTCCACCAGGCTGGTCTGCGGAGGACCATTGGATTGTAAAGGGTCCTTCTCAATGATCTAGCCAGGGTCAGGGATTTGCAGGGTGGATCAGTAAGATGGGATACGTACTTGGAAATTGCGGAACCAGATCTTGTTGTCGAGCAAGGAAAATGTGAGGATATGGTCGACGAACGGCTTTGCCCTTCTAGCTGTCGGGGGAACACCAAATATCTGGAAGGGCATGAGCGTTGGCGCACGCTAAGTCATGATTATACTCACATGCGTAAACATCTCCTTTATGAGTTTACCCCACTCTGTCTCGTCAAATGCAGCGTCAAAGCTGAGAACGCCTCGAGACCCTTTCAAGCAGTTCCCCGTCATCTTCAATTCGTCCATGGTGTGAATATTTTGAACGTGCAGCTTTACGCTGGGCCCGTTTGGCGTCTTGGCTGCCCACATATACAAGTCTTCATGCCTCCGTGCCTCAAAGTACAGGGTGTTGTTACAGTTGTTGAGGTCGGCGAGTTCGGGTAAGAGCGAAAGCTGGTTTTTGGAGTCGAGCTTCGAATCTATTCATATGATTAGTATACGCGGAAAGAATAGTGATTGGAGGCCGCACCCTTTTTGACGTGCGGTAGTAACGCCTCGATATCTCCCATTAAGTGACGCATGCGGTGGGTGACACCGCGGGATGAGAGCATCAGGACGCGCTGCTTATTTTTCTGCTTTTTCGCCACAGGCGCGCTCGCAAGTGCGTCCTCCTCCTCGACATCCATAGCCTCCGCTTTGCGTTTGCCCTTGCCCTTCGCACCAGCCTTAGCCGCGTTTTCAGTCTGAGCCTTGAGTAAAGTTGACATGGTAGCGAGAGTAAAGGCTGTCGAACGCTGTTGGCGGTCAGAGTCAAGGGCGCCTGCGCCGCGCCGCGCGCTCGAGGAACTTTTCCAACCCTAACCTATGTCCCCTTGACCATTGCTTCACGCCCGTACATACTTCGCATCGCCTCAAAAGTGTTCCAACCAGGAGACAACCAGCAGACTACCGCAGTCTGTGTTAAAACCTAGCAGATGGTGATAATTACCGTTTAATCGGCACACTCGGTCCGATAGCCGACCACGTGTTCGAGCCGCGCTCTCGGACGCGATCAATTCCCACCCTCGCGGAGGTGTGGTTCAGACGTTGATCTTGTGCAGCGACCTTCACTTGAACCCCCACCTCCACCGCGACTATCACTATCGTGCAGTCATGATCTCAACACGCCCGCATTCCGCTGCGTCTAGCAGCTCTTTGTCATCTCTCACCAGCTCATCCGCCTCAACCTCGTCCTCCAAAAGGTCTTTCTATGAGTTCGCTTCGGCGTCGAGCTCCATGTCCTCACTGGAGTGCAGCGCGTCAGAACGCTGCAATTGCAATCTGGTCAACAATGCTCGCCTTGAAAGGCTTCACTCCGACCACGCTCTCTCCACACAAGGGCTCTGGCACGGGCCATTGTCTATCCAAGAGTGGCAGGAACATTTTATGCCTGCAAGCGACGTTACCCCACGCCACATCGATTTCAGCGACCTTCCCCAAGATCATAGCGCAAAGGCTATAGTGAGTTCTCTGCCTGTCTTGTTGAAGTATCTGTTTTGAATACTTTCTACAGGCCGAACGCATATCCGCCAGCGGCGTATGTGCGAATGTCTTCCCTCGCGCCACAGTGGCCGTACACGGCAAAGACCATACCACCAACACCATGCTTTCACCCGATATCGCCCTTCTATCTGTCGACTTGGAGATGGATCACGACAGTCTTCACGTGCGCGACGAGCTTCTCGGTGCCACCCTCGCTTTCAGTGTGGTTGTGACTGAAGAGGAAGACCCCTGCGCCTTTGCCGAGGATACCGTTGACACGGAGAAGGCTGCGGCCACGCGCGGTCGGATCGCCGCCATTGCGCGCGCCATCTACGTCAATTCCCATCGCATCTTTGGCTACGCTCTGGTCCTCATGCCAGAGCGCGCGCGTCTCGTCCGCTTCGATCACAGCGGGATAGTCTTCACCGAACTCTTCTCCTGGCGCACGTCCGACGATCTCGCCACCTTCCTTACGCGGTTCGACTGCATGACGGCTGCCGAACGCGGCTGTGACACATCCGTGGAAACTATCCCGTCGAGTTCTCAGGAAGCGCAAGACGCCATGGATATTCTCAGCCACTCCGATGTTCTACCTGAAGGAGTGATCAAGTCTGCGGTGATCCCAGACGACCATCATGGCGACCTATCCCTCGTCCACGTCTACGATGACGACTCGAAGACTTGCCATCGTGTCGTGGTGCACAAGCCAGTAAACTCCTCCGAGTTCTACATCGGCCGCTCCACACTTGGTTACTATGGAGTGGACCTGGACGAGGGGGCGGTCGTATACGTGAAGGATACGTGGCGTATCAATTCTCGCTGTGCAGCACCAGAGGCGAAGACGTATCGGAGGCTCAACCAGCACAAAGTTTCGAATCTGCCCGGTTTCTACCACGGGGGCGATGTGCCACTGGATACTCCCTCTCTCCACCACCCGACTCACAGTACCACGGCGCAGTCGACTTTTGTGAGCGACTTTGTGGACGGCCATCCACAACACAATCGTCAACATTCCGCCACGGGAAATGATTCACGGCGACACATCCATCACCGCCTCCTATTCTCTCGCATAGGCAGGCCGCTCAACACGTTCAAGAGTACCCTCCAACTGTGCACAGCACTTCGACATGCTATGCAAGGTGCGTATGTGCGCCACCTTCCTCTGGATGCGATTAACGCCGTGAATTAGGCCACAGCGAGGCATACGAAAATGCCCAGATCTTGCACCGCGATATCAGCGGCGGCAATGTTCTGATTGATAAGAGTGGTCGGGGTATTCTCATTGACTGGGATATGTGCGTCTGGCGCGAGAACGTGGAGGAGATGGAGAGGATAGGACAGCCAATCGTGCGTATCCAGTGTCTATCTGTTATCGCTTGAATTTCTCATCTCTGTCGGCAGGGAACGTGGAGGTACATAGCTGCTGAGCTTCAGATCGGGCTACCACCTCGGCCACATCTTCTACGGGACGATCTTGAATCTTTCGTTCACGTCCTCTTCTACCATGTCTTCCGCTACAGGCCGCTCTTTGCTGCCGATTCACCCGATCAGCGCCGTCTTTTGTCCAGCATGTCATCCGTTTTCGAGGCAGCCTCAGCCCAACCCAATGGAAGGGTCTACGGCGGTCATCATAAAGGACAATACCTATGCGACCGCACATCGCACTTCGACGCTCGTATCCTCCGCCAGCAACTCCGCCCGGAATCGCTCTACGAGCTGCTCAAGGGCGCCCGAGAGGTTTTCACACAGCTCTACAGTGAAGCGCCTGTCATCGGGAACGTCGGTTCAAAACGTATCAGGACCAGACGTGAGGAGGAGTTGAAGAAATATGAAGACGCATTAGCAATCGCGACCAAGCGGGTCGAAACGTCCGCCCACATAATCTCCGTCTTCGACCTATGGATAGAGCAAGAACATGAATGGCCCTCTGATGATGGTGCTATCGATCAGCTGGTCCCCCGATCCAACGTAGGGTGCTCTCGCAGTAGCCGAAAACGCTCTGCTGATCCCGGCGTCGACGCTTGCGACTCGAATAAAGCTCGTCGTCTCGACACTGCGCGGAGTGCATCCGCCGGGGCTTCGGCGCGTTCTCAACGCCTGTAGACCGCTATCCATTCACATTAATCATATTGTACTCCATCTTGTTGTCCCATCGTTTTGCTCTCGACATGCTTTAAAACCTTTGCTGCCTGGCGTACCTCGTTACTCTATCACGATGAATTGTATACGTATATTCTCTACAAATATATTTCCTAAACAAATATCATATAACAAAGAGTAAATGATAAGATATGTACAAGATGTGACATATTGGCAAGTGCTGGGTGTCAAATAGTGATATCGTATACATGATTATTATGAAGAAAGATCGATCTAGTGTGATGCTAGTACATGCAATCCTCGTTACAATGTCCTCATAGTGATCGTTGAAGCGCAGACTCCCTGCCTCACTGCGACCCTACGTCCATATGATCATATCAAGCCAGCAGCAGTGACTACCTCTTCTTAGACACACCAGATGTCGCGACGCTGCCGGAGCGCGGACCGAATACGTCATCCTCGTCCTCCAACAGGCCAGTCTGTTTCTGTCGCTTGAGGTTTCCAGTCCCTGACTCGTAGTCAGAAGGCCGAGGTCTCTTCGAACCAGTCGTCGTGGAAGTAGCATGTTGCCGTTGGAACGCTCGGGGGCCGTACGGTGCCCTGTCATTCACAGGGAACTGGTCCCCGGGCTCACCACCTGTCGTTGACCAGTGGTTGGAATACTCGTCCGAGAGGAACTCCGCAAAGAGTTCCAGTAGAGGCTCCGAAGACTGAAGATTCTCTTTGGCTTTGTCGCGAAGCCGCGTGCACTCCGCTACGTCTTGATTATATTTTGCGAGAGTTTCTGGATCTTTCGCGCCCTTCGAGGAGGGAGGCTCCGGGTCCAGATCATATATGTCACGGAATAGGCGACGCGTCTCCACGAGCAGATCCCAAAGGGGCCCTGGTTGTATGAAACCCTCCATGTCTGCCCAATTTAAGATACTCAGCTTTCCAGAGAGCAACGAGCCTTTGAAATGACCACCGCGAATGCGACCCTCGTGATCAACATATGCCTCCCCATAAACGGCTCGTAAAGCGTGGAGGATTTTTTGCCGTGGGATAAGTAACGTATCGCCCTCGCCGCACAGAGGGAGGAACCGTAAAGCAAAGTAGTGCAGTATATGGATGATGGACTCGATGTCATCCTGAAGGAGGTAAGGGCTTTCAGACGGGTCCATGAGGAAACGCGCAGACAAGAACGCCCAGCTATGCTAAGTGAGCCAGGAAACGGTATCAGCGAAAATATTACGCATGTGAAAGTTACTTCTCCGCGTACCGGTCGCTCCTTGGTCCGGGCCGTCGTGCTTTGCGTCCGCCAAAAGATGGATTGGTCCCAGTTTGTAAGCAAGCCGCGCCCACTACTGTCAATGCGAATGGAAGACGCCGTAATGCATCGGTGTAGAATGCCGACGTCGTAAGCTTTTGAATGAGCTAGTGTGCATCAATCAGCTTTAGAACATACTCGTACATGTGATATGCTCAAACCTTCTGAGACGTCGTGCATCACCTCAACCAGTTCTTTGGCAGATCTGAAGGTCTCCAACTTCCGAAAGACGGTCTCGTAAAACACGCGATGGAGGCGACGTGGTATGACTTCAACACGTTCGTTGGGCTTTCCCCCGAGGTCGGACGCCTTTCGTTGAACCTCAGGGTGTGCGTTGCAAAACTGATCCGTGTAAGTGGACTGGTACGTGAGCGAGTTGTGCTCTTCGATGCTGAGGGGGCGCCGATTGGTAGATTCATATCGCGCATACAACTTGTCCGAATCGTTGGGGACGTCGGAACCGAAATATACATGCGGAATGTGGGGAACGCCCGCGTCGTTGAGTCGAGCCTGCCTTTCCGTTTCCGACGGCAATCCAGGTAGACAAGGACGCCAATACTCCTTCATCGACAGAACGATGTCGTGATCTATATCGACTGCAGTCCAGTAGCGGGCGCCGTCACTAGTGAGAGAGTTGGACGTATTATACTCCATCGGATGATGGGCGACGATGCGGTGGAATGTGCGGGTGTCGGATCGATATTGCAGGAACATATTGAGATGAGTACCATCATCTGGAAAGACAGCATCTTCGGTGATGCCGTGAGGTAGATCATGGGCCGCCATGGCTTTGCGAAGGACTTTCCTAGCGCGCGTAGCTTCCTTCGATCTGTACTCAATAGAGCTCACGGAAGTATCGCGACCTCGCTGAGCAGGAGTCATGGCGTCGACCGAAGACAGAAAGCGTAGGAGATTTGGGGTTTGACGCCACTTGAATAGCTCTGTGTAGATGACACCAGCGCGGTCGAAGCGAAATAGACGAGCATCGTCTCCCATGATCAGGAACGCTTGTACAGAGGTGCGAAAGGAGTTCGAGAACATGACAATGGAATACGACGTAAATTGACCTCGAGAATGTCGAGATGTTGGCGTATCGCGCGTCTTGAAGCGAACAGAACCCGAGAGTCCGCCGTGGGAATCTTCGTTGTTGGCTTTCTGGTCGCCCCAAACCTCCATCATATCCAGAACGACCATGGCGCGCAGAGCAGGATCCATGTCCGCAGGAAGAAGAGCGCTTAATAGAGCAAAGTCCGGAGCATACACTTGATGGGGAGCATTGATGTCTTTTCCCATGATGATATGGGTATCCGTTGGATGGAGATTTTGACATAGACCGCTATCGATGATGGCCTGGCACTGCCCAAATCTAAGCGCTATACACTTTGTATCATGAGCAATCGACGTACTAGATCTGCTTCCCCATGCGTCTTTGAGATGACAGCGAACAGCTTTTTAGCCAGATTACGGAAGTGTGAAGCACTGGAAGGGTCGGTGCGAGTGCTGGGAGGAGTAATTGTATCATCCTTCACCCAGACCTGTAGCTTGACGGGGCCAACCGACAAGCCCTCGATCTGTTGTGAGCGCTCCTCATTGATTTCATCCCTTTTTCGCTCTTTCGCATCATGAAGCGAGAGGTTCCAGTCGGGGACCGCTGTTGGTGGCGTGTCCTGGAGGACGGGAGGGGCGGACGCTGGTATTCTCGCTGGAGTTTTGGGCTTGGCGACAGAGGTTGTCCCACAAGGATCGCGAGAAACCATCGAGCCATCGTGGGCCACAGCATCTACAGAGCATTGTCCAGCAAACGCGACGGTCTCACCGACTCGGGCGCTACCGCGAGAAGGATGTCGATTCGATTTCCGTCGACCGCGAGCAGACACCTTCTTGACGGTAGGGGCGATCTTGGCGGTAGAACTGCTGCTGCTACCAGATCCGCAACTACCTTGGACAGCCCCAGAGGCAGAAACGTTGCTACCTGAGGGCAAAGTGGTATCCTGGGCGTTAGCGCCACTCTCAAGTTTGACGCGTGAACCTGAGGTGGCCATGTCAGCACGGCTTAGGGAACGAAGCGTGTGTGTCTTACGCGTGCGTATGGCATCAGTTCTTGAGCAGCTTCATTTAGGGGATTTCGGATCTTCGGCGCT